GACTACTTCTACTCTCGGTTGTTGCTACCTTTTAAGCCTTTGCAAAATTATAGACTCCACCGCCCATCCCCCCTCTCCCCCCCCCCCCCCAAAAAAAAAAAAAAAAAAAGAGGACATGAAATTGCAGTATCCACCATGCATTGTTAATGTTAAATAATATGAACAGTCATCAAATCAAAGACATAAATATAATAAATAGATATTTTCGGGGTTTTTTTTAACGTTATTTTATTATATTCCATTATATTATAGAATTATAGAGTTTTTCGCGTTCAACACTACCTTTTCTTGAATAAGTTTGCTTGGTAATGTTGTAATCGAGATGCACTACATGTATTCACTTTATAATTCATGTTGTCTGTGACAAATAACGAATGTTAACTCCCTTTTGAAATATTGTAAAAACGGGATGTTAAGTGCATAATTTGTATTAAAAGATCTACGCTTCTATTGTAATTTGCATTCTGTATCACCATAGTTTCGATGTACTTAGAAATTGAGTAGTACAAATTATTACTTTTACAATGAAATTTTCTCATTTATAAATCTGGTATGTTATTTTAAGGGTCGATAGGACAAACATCATGACTTAGAAACGGAAAAATAGTATTTTTCCTAATAATAAGAATTCGATCTTTGGGAATAAAGTTTAATTAAAAGACAACTATTTAATGCATGTACTGTATCCAATAACACTCCCCACGACAATGTATTATCAACTCCCTTTATTTTAGTCATTTCAGGCAAAATACAAGAATTCAAAATATTTTACTGAAAAATAATAGTTTTCTTTAGTACGAAATGAAGAAGAAATTGATATTCAAACTCCTACGATTTTACATCCATTATTGAAATTGAAGTTTATTTGCATATTACATTGTAAAATGTTGAAGCATTGTATAGCATACTTACCCTTTGAAATATGGAAAAATAGAAGTGAAATTAGTAATTAAATCTACTATTATATATCCAGATATATGATATTCTTCGTTAATACAAGATATATTAAACATCAATTTACTTTTTATGGTCTCTATGTGGAAGGGTTTGAATACATTGGGATTATGTTTTGTATACATTTTGTATGAGAAAAAAAAGGATTTGGTATGATTGCCATTTAGACAACTCTCCACTAAAGACCTAATGAAGTAGAAGTGATCAACTGTGGGTCACCGTACAGCCTTCAACAATTAGGAAAACCCATATCTCATTGAGCTATAATAGGCCCCGAAATAACAAATGTAAAACAATTCAAACGATAAAATAAAAAGCCTGATTTATTTCCAAAAAATAAGACGGTGTGGTATGATTGACAATGAGACAACTCTCAGCCAGAGACTAAATGACGTAGAAGTTAAAAACTATAGGTCAACGTACATCCATCAACAATGAGCAAAACCTATACCGCATTTTGCTATGATTGGTCACCTTCTTATTTGTTATGAGACAGAAACAAATGTGGACATGAAATCGGAGTAATCACCGTACACTGTTAAATGTGAACAGTGAAAAAATGTATAGTTCAACTTTCTTTATGAATACAAATCCTGACAAATCAGTACAAATTTGATACTATGCTCGAACTTTCAAATGAATAATGGTGTTTGCTTAACAGACGTAATGACGACCAGGAGGCGGATTTAGGGGGAGGGGGCGCAGGTGTTCCGGCCCCCCTCCCCTTTTTGGGGAAAAATTTGGTTGATTATATAGGGAATCACTGAAGCATGACTGGAGCGGGTCCCCTCTTAGACAGTCAGTGCCCCCCCCCCCCCCCCTTTTTATGAAAATTTCTGGATCAGCCACTGCGACCAGATTAGCCGCCAACACTAACTAACAAGCATTATTATTGTTTAATCTATTATCTAATTGTTAGTTTAAAACGACGGTCAATACTATACAATAAATGAGTTATTTGATTCATTGTGGTATCGAGGAGGGAGGGGATGGTAACGAACATTATTGTTATTTTGCAGACGGTTTCCATAATTAATGGCCATTGATAGAGAATTGAAGTATTGTACGCAATTGCTAATATTATAATAACTATGAAATAAATTACCATATTGCATTTTTTACTTGTCTATGCTGGCATAAATGCATAAAAAGTGTTCTTAAGAAAAAAAATTGATGTCTTAACGTTTTTTGTCTATACAAATGGTACGACCACGTTTTATTTGTTAATTATTCTAGACATTCTAAAACGCCTCTCATTCTTACATATTCCAACAGTGTTTTGTAGTTTCTGTAAATTTGTCAATATTTCGTATACATTAAATTGCCATTTATTATTTAAAAAAAATTGTCAGAGGTAATAAGGTTTTGTCGCCAATATTTCAAGAAATATTTATCCCGGGGATTCAGAATGCTTTTACGGCTTGTAATATGCTCTTTGGTGGGGTTGCTGTCTCTTTGACACATTCCCCGTTTCCACTTTCTATTCTACTTTGATAAATGTAGATTATTTTTCGTTGGCATTTGATGTTTTCAAAACCGATTTGTTGTTAGTTCTTTGGTTCATGATAATCTCAAAGGTAGCAGAGAGGTTCTGGGTTCAATTCCTGGCTGAGTCGAATGAAAGACTTTAAAATTAGTATTTCATGCTTCTCGCTAATTACGGAGCACATAGCCATAAGTGAAAAGGCTGATCGGATCGTTGTCAGACACTTCTTCATGATGACTGTTTGATACCTTGTGAACGCGAACATTAATATCCGGCTCAGCGTGTCGATCTAGAACAAAGCAGTGCACATTTTTTTAGGGGCCAGCTGAAGCCCGCCTCCGGGTGCGGGATTTTCTCGCTGTGTTGAAGACCCATCGGTGGCCTTCGGCTGTTTTTTACTCTTTGGTCGGGTTGTTGTCTCTTTGACACATTCCCCATTTCCATTCTCAATTTTATCTATTTTCATAAAACATCAACATATCATCATCAACATTATCATCACTATCATCGTCATCGTCGTCCCATAATAACTGTTCCCTTGCTGTCTTTTTATTACTTCTATCTATGTAAAACGTTTTCTATTTATTTTAGAAACAACACTATATTTAAATATTTAAGTTATTTAACATGAAGCAAGCATTACGTTCTAATCATCATGTCAAATTATAAATCTTGTCTTTACTATTTACAAAATATTTTATGGCGTTCACAATCCGATGTTTATTTAAACAATTTATAGTCATTTTGTATCCGGACAAATTACTTTATAAGTATTTACACTTGTTCGCAGTCTGAGTGGAAACCTAATTTACTGGCTAATAATCCCAACAAATAAATCACAATGGAGGCCGCCTTAAACAGTCATAACATAGATCGATGTTTTATCAGGCTTTGTATATAATTTATAGGGGAAAGATATTTTATTGAAAGTTAAGTTGAATCTAAGGCCGTGTTCATACTGAGGCTTTAACAAGTTTGAAACAAGTTTATTTGAAATTTGAACATTAACTTTAAATAAACACCGCGTTTATTTTGGAAACACTTGCAGCTATTAATTTACTTTTGAACATATAATTGAAAGCATGTCAAACAATTGATTAGTTTTTATTTCAAAGATGTTAACAATACCAGGGGCGGATTCAGGAAGGGACGTGATGGGCGTGCGGTCCCCCCCCCCCCCCCTAAAATCTAAAATTTGCAAAGCATGGGTTGTCCTCAGCTTAATCGTGTTAATAAAGAATATTTCGATAATTTTACCTCAACAAAATTTTTGTCTCGCTCCGCACGGCGAAAATTTAAGTTTGCCCCCCCCCCCCCCCCCCCTCAAACCTAAAATCCTGGATCCGCCCCTGAATACGACTTGTGTTCACAAAATATGTTTCACATGGGCAGTGTGAACGCGTTCTAAGTCACTCTTTTAAGGAAAAATTATCATGATATGATATCAGTAGTAACTAATACTATGATATTGTGACAACTTTAAATATAAAATTTTAAGGTTTTTTAAGTTCAAAGTAGTGTTTAGTTGTGATCAGCAGTTTTGAAATTTAAAATGCTAAATTTCATTTAAACACAGTTTTCTTGTATAATGACGATTACTATATATCCTCTCTGAGGAACTGTAACTTCCCATAGATCGTATACCTTTTTAGGAACTGCTATTGCCCTAAAGAATCTCCATCCTATCCCTAATATCCCATCCGTAGCCCGGGAGTCTCTGAAGGCAGTCAATTGAGTCATGACGAAGGGGTTTATTTGGGTCTTAATTCTGTGGCTGTAATAGTTATTTTTCAATCTGAATACTTTAATAGTCTTTAATATTATGTTTTGTTTTCAGAAGTAGGCTCGACCGAACCCCCTGACTACCGGTTTCCCTATTGCATATCTCACATCTCTTAATCCTTCACAGTGTGTTATTTAATTGTACGTTTTCTAGGAAGGGCACATCTGTCTCTCTTACATGTATTCCTGCACAGAGTATTATTTAGATGTATATTTTTCTAGTACCGGCATATCTGTCTCTCTTATTCCTTCACAGTGTATTATTTAGATATAAATTTTCTAGTAAGGGCACATATGTCCTTTGTAATTCTTCTTATACTTTTGTTCAGTACGTTGAAACCAATCATTCACAAATAAGAATAGTTGTGCCAAAGGTGTCATTGGAACTCGGGTGGAATGTTCTCTCATTGGCAATCATACCACATCTTTTTATTTGTAAATGCATGATAAAGCCACCTTTAACTTGAATCCATTAAAACTACATAAATAAATGATAAACAGTTAAAAATAGAATAACTACAATTTTGAGATGGTTGTTAAAGCATACAAAATACAAAATGTGGTTTTGGGCGTTCCCGATCAAGGTACATGTTAATACCGATATTTGCTTCGGACGTATCAAAATTATACAGTGTTATTTTCATGATAAAATAATTACAAGAATAAATTACGTTAAAATTATACCAAAGCTGTAATGGATATAGTTTTGGAAATAAGAAGACATGTTATCTCTAATTTTACATTTTTATTCATTGATACTTTTGTTATTTTATTTCAGATATAGAACCGTCAGAACGACAAAACACAGAACTTCAACGCAAAACTCTAATAGAAATTTTACAGAATTTACAAGAATTTAGTTTTCAAGAAGAAAAGCGAAAAATAGATACAAAATCTTCATTTCAAGTAAAAACAGGTATATATATATAATCCGGATGTTGTAACGACGGTGACATATAATTGCTTTTATCTTCGTCATTTGAACTCTGGTAGATAATTTTTATCTTTGGCAATCATACCACATCTCCTTATTTTTTTATAAAGATATTTACTTCAAATGCCAATAATGGTCTTAACTCTAATGAAATATTATTGCTATCTGAATGGTAATTACACAGCATCTTATTCTATAAACATTTACGAGGGTCTGAATGGGTGTTCTTCATTTTTGTGTTCTTTAATTTTCTATGCCATTTTTCTCTAAACTTTATACTTTTTGCCCATTATTCTCTATTCTTTATATATTTAGCACCTCATAAATCTTTATTCTTTATGTTTCGTCTTATTTTTTCTCTATCTTTTATATTTTTTACTCATTATTTTCTATTCTGTAAACCCCCACCCACACCCTCATTTACATGCCTCGGTCATTGATTTGATTTTTCGTTTGATCTCCCGTCTAGTGTGTTGTTTTGTTTTGGTTTTCCTCTCTCTGTCATATATGTACATACTGTTTATGGTAAATCTTGAATAGTATTTAACTTGAAATTTATTCCCATTTGTTAGACGAATCGTGGGCGATTTAGAGCTGAACATAATGTATAGACACGGATTTACTGTTGAGGGCTGTGTTGACCTCTGGTTTCCTTTTTGAATATTGTAAAATGCTTTACTCTTTTCAAATGCATTTTCTATATGACGCATTTTTTTGTGAAAAAATGGCATATTATCGTTTTTAAAGAATTGAATGCTTCTTTTTGTAAATTAATTGGGGTGTAAAAGCATTGACCGAAGTACATTTTGTATGAATCGCGGAAGCGCTTGATTCTAAAAATGTGCGCACGGTCAACGCTTTTACAACCCTATAAAATTACTAAAAGAAGCATTCAATACTTATAATTACATTTTTTTGCTAGGATCATGAAAACACGATTTCTATCAAGTTTTACTTTTAATTTACCTTTGCACTTTATTGTGGAAGCTTGTGTCATCATGAATGTTAAATTTCATTTTGAAATGAAGGTTAATTTCAGAATGACGCGAGATTGCTGTTAGCCCATCAAAATAACGTATTATAATAAAATATACATGTAACGTAATTATACTTTTATAGCTGCTTATATATTGTTACTTAATTATTGACTAGTGGATACAATATTAATCGTAAAAAGAATAGGGGATTAACAATACTTTCATGTTAAAATCTCTTAAAATGAGCATTTTTTTTAGACTAAGGTCAATGTATGACTTGAAACTTTGCATAAGCACCAGTGTATTAATGAAGGCTGTATATAAATGACGTTTTATTGCGTTTTGCGTTATTTGGGTAGCTTAAGATTATTGAAGGATTTTTGATTGCTTAACACTAAAAAGTAAATATTGCATGCATACTTAGAACGACTTATAACAGTTATTACTCTTCTTGAATGTTACATATAATAAAACAGTATTTTGTTCTTGTATTGGGAAAACTATTATGTCATTTTACCGAAATAAATTGTAAAATGTCGTAAATTTAAGAGATAGATTAACAACTTAATAGATATCTGTCATTTTCTTGTACACTTAATTCTCACTAATGTTGTATAATTATATCCTTAAAAATATATAACGCACACGCTCATCAATTGTTAAATCATTAGCAAACTACAAATATATTTATAGTAAGAACCTTTTTCTACATTTAAAGGTAAGGGAACTACCATTTGATTTTTATGGGGGGGGGGGGGGGGGGTGGGGGGGGGGGGGGGGGGGGCTAGGATGAAAAATTTTGTCCTGCCTTTTTATTTTTCCCTCTATTCGGTCCTGCCTTTTTATTTTTCACTCTATTCGGTCCTGCCTTTTTTTTTTAGTTTATCCTGACTTTTTTTTTTACATAAATTGTCATCCTGCCTTTTTTTTTTTTGCAAATAATCTCATCCTGCCTTTTTTTTACTCAAAACTCCTGTCCTGCCTATTTTTTTCAAATTTCATCCTAGCACCCCCCCCCCCCCATAAACATCAAATGGTAGCTCCCTAACAATAATACATATTCGGAAACAGCGGTTCGGTATGCCATCGTGGTTGTTCTATAAATGTCCATTTTGTATAAAGTATTATATTTATGTTTGGCTTCCAAAACTGTTGGTCTTCGGACTACATTATTGAGGTTATTCCGGCAACAAGTAGCTTGAAAACGGACGTTATTCCCGAACGTTTGTTTTACTACCCTCGGGTCGTACTGATAGTCCTTGCAGATACATTTCTTCTCAAAACAAAACATGTCTGAGTTAAATTTGCAGTTTATAGATTATGTTGAATTTTTTAAAACTAAGGTTTGAACTTTCACATTATAATTTTCGTTATTCTGGTAGGCCCTTCTAGTTTTTACGCCCTGTTTACTGAAATATTTTCAACTCGAGGAAATGTGTTGTAAATTATTTAGAAAAAAAACTCACTTTTGTGTTAATTTTAAGAAATCTATATCAAATTTTTAATCTTACCTGTGTATGAGTAGTGGGTATGGGGTTGGGGAGTGGGCGTTATATTATATTTTACCTTATAAAAATACCACAGATAACGTAGAAAGTACCCAAAAGAGATTTTACGTTCGTTATATCATTCCAACTATTCTCTTTTGATGTTGTTTCCGAACATTTACATTAGTGCTCAGCTTAATACGGGGATTCTATCTGCAACGTGTTGATAATATTTTAATAACCCTTTTGAAGATCATAACTACATTGTCATAAAACTATTCACTGTCGTCAAAGTCAATGATGACGTCATTGTTCTCCATCAAATATATCAACTTTGTTGTATTAAGAAACAGATTAAAACATTTTATGGACACCTATCAATTTAAAGCAAAGAAAACCCTTTTAATTCTTTATAGTTGAATATTTATTTTTATGTCCTTTAAAAACCTAAATAGTACGGCATCGAGATTTATAGAATTAAAGAGCATCTTTTGAGATAGTAAATGACGATAATAGCGAAATCATTGTTGATATTTGTTTTTAACGACTTAAACTTTTAGAGGCGTCAACAGTTGTTTAACTTACTAATACGTTATATACAAAAAAACATAAAATTACGTATTTTACGGACATTTCTTTCGTCATCTAACTCATAAATTTTGTTGGGGGTTGAAATTGAATCATAGTTGTATCATCAAACAAAGATTTAACTTTCATACACAGACTGTATTTGTATATAAATTAACGAGATAAGATATCATTGCTATAAACAACTATCAAAGGGAGTCAAAATGAAGCCGATTTCAGGAACTATACGTCATCATACGACCTTTAGCATTAGGCAAAATCCATTACGTAGAGTCAGCTATAAAAGATTGAAAACAACACGTTTAATAATTTCATGCGTCCGAAGCGCTTTTCTGGATTTACCTTCATCAGGAACGCTCAATGCCAAACATTTGAAATCCGAGGGATGTATAAGTACTGAAACAGTTGAAGAGCTATATAACAAAAATACCTAAAACAAATAGCCAAATTCATCTAAGGTCAACTTTGCCTGAGGGAGTTGAAACCTTAGTTTCTCTATAATTTCAAAATTTATAAACGGACAATTTTAGAAAAGTTTGGTATAAATCATGTCAGTACCGAAGTACTGACTACTGAGCTGATGATACCCTCGGGGACTGATAGTCCACCAGCAGAGGTATCGATCCAGTGATGTAAAAAATTGAAAACAACACGTTTAATAATTTCATGCGTCCGAAGCGCTTTTCTGGATTTACCTTCATCAGGAACGCTCAATGCCAAACATTTCAAATCCGAGGGATGTATAAGTACCGAAACAGTTGAAGAGCTATATAACAAAAATACCTAAAACAAATAGCCAAATTCATCTAAGGTCAACTTTGCCTGAGGGAGTTAAAACCTTAGTTTCTTTATAATTTCAAAATTTATAAACGGACAATTTTAGAAAAGTTTGGTATAAATCATGTCAGTACCGAAGTACTGACTACTGAGCTGATGATACCCTCGGGGACTGATAGTCCACCAGCAGAGGTATCGATCCAGTGATGTAAAAAATTGAAAACAACACGTTTAATAATTTCATGCGTCCGGAGCGCTTTTATGGATTTACCTTCATCAGGAACGCTCAATGCCAAACATTTCAAATCCGAGGCATGTATAAGTACCGAAACAGTTGAAGAGCTATATAACAAAAATATCTAAAAAAAATAGCCAAATTCATCTAAGGTCAACTTTGCCTGAGGGAGTTTAAACCTTAGTTTCTTTATAATTTCAAAATTTATAAACGGACAATTTTAGAAAAGTTTGTTATAAATCATGTCAGTACCGAAGTACTGACTACTGAGCTGATGATACCCTCGGGGACTGATAGTCCACCAGCAGAGGTATCGACCCAGTGATGTAAAAAAATAAAAGGCTGCCACATGACATTATTTGAAAAAATATTCAACGAAAAAATACCAAATGACCCCCTGACAGACCGCAACCAGCGACAACTACTGAATTACACGCTCCTGAGTTAAGACAGGCATATAAAGAATGTCGTGTTCAAAATTACTTTATTCTTTCATGTTGTTTAATGGTAAAGATAAACCTTTATCTGTGTCGTCTCTTGATGTTTGCTGACCCTATATGTTTCATATATTTGGGTTTAGACGTTTTACTATTATTTAACTCATTAAACGTTTGGATTTGCGTAAGAATTATACTGCACTTAAATTGTGTAATACGTTTACATTTCATAAACATTTAGTTGACAAATAAATCAATTCATCCTGTACGTTCGTACAGCAAAAATTGGTCACATATTTTTTAGTTACATTAAGAATATAATTTCACTTTTCAGATCTGTCGGACACCAACTTCCTGTTTGTCGATTTGGGGGTATGCTTAACTAACACGACACATATGCGACTTTTCCTCCTGTTGGTATTGTTATTCATAAATTACTCAAACGCTTATTTAACTTGACTAACTTGACTAACACACATCTGTGTCAGTTGATGTATCCAACACTTACATATCTCTCTCTCTCTCTCTCTCTCTCTCTCTCTCTCTCTCTCTCTCATAATGGGTAACCACACTATTTTAAACATAAATATATCTTTAGTTATTTTCCATTTGCAGATAGAAGACAGATGGATTCAGTGGGATCAGTGAACAAAAGAGATTACGGAATAATGCCACCATGGAATGAGATGTGCCGCATGATGAGGGTGGCATTCTGCGTCCGACACAGAAAATAACATTATTTCTACGGTCCGACACAGAAAATAACATTATTTCTACGCTGATCTATACTGTTATTAAAATCAACATATTTTCAATTTTTGTTCATTTGATCTTTCTTTCTGGCAAATGTCTTGGCGGTTTGTATTCGACTTCAGAGTTTTATTGCACACTTGATTTATGTGTTTCTATTTCTTTCAGGCACCTCCCATAAATTATTAATGATATTGCTGATATTGCTGGTAGAATTAAAGAAAACAATTTGCAACGAAATATTTAAATTTAAGTACATACATATTTAAAATAGAAATACTGCACGTGTACTTGTTTGTGACAATAAAATACGAACTGCTACATTGTATAATAAACACAAACCCCCTCGGTATCATTTTGCCTTTTTCATAGTGGTGATGATTTACATTTAACATTAGCGGCACCAAATGGGCTCTCTTGTGATAGAGGAAAACAAATTAGAAAATCCAACACATTAATACATAAAAGTTCAAAATTAGATAAAAATATATTCGTATTTTCATGCCAGTAATGAAGTACTGGCTACTGGACAGATGACGCCCTCGGGGACTATAGTCCACCAGGAGAGGTGTCTGGACTGGAGAGGTTATATTATATAATCATATTCATGTTTCTGGTGGCAACACATCGTACCCATTATAGCAAGTATCTTCTGGGCCGAATATCATTTGAGGAAAAGTAATGTTTTAGATTTTAAACATTCAAAAGAGGTCGTTTGAGCGGTCACAAGTCATTGGCACTGTCCAGGATCAGAAACTGTTTGTTTGTAGATTAACGGTGCCACATGTCAATAGTGCTTTTCTATCTCGGGAACTGTGTCACTGATTGTTAATAATTATGATTTAGCGTTTTGTTAATAATCCATCTGTTGCAGTTGATATGGGCACTCATGATAACATGTATTTGAGTTGTCAGCCTTTAGTGTCCATTCTAAGGTAATTTGTCCACAAAACAATGGTATTGTTAACCTCCAGAAGAATTTTAATTTGTTCTATGCCTTTTTTTTTCTCATTCGATCAAACCGACATATCACGTGAATCATCCTGTACATATGTACGTAATACGTTTTATTAACGGATGGCACTTTATTGTTTTTCGAGGCGTTATTTGCATATTTAAGAGATGGTGTATTATAGTTCAATATTTGCTGGCATTTAATTGTTGATTTTGTTAACATGAACTTGCATGTTAAAGACTGTAAGAAAATGAAAACAACACGTCATAAATTGCATGCGTCCGAAGCGCTTTTCTGGATTTACCTTTATCAGGAACGCTCAAAGCCAAATATTTGAAACCAAAAGATGTATAAGAACCGAAACAATTAATGACTGTAAATATTGAAATACAATACTGTTATGATATCTCTATTCTTAAATAGCGACGGTATGTATTTTTGGAAAACCCTCATCAGGTACACTTGGCAGCTTACACTTTCCCCTTCTTAATTTTATCAAACATCAAATACAATAAACATCTTTTATACAAAAACCAATTTGACTTAGAAAGAACCTCCGAGGACATCGAAGACAATATACGTAACTGCCTGTAATGATGGACAAATGTCAACACTAAATTGTCCCTAGTTCAAAAAATGCTTAGATCTCAAATCAGACAAACACATATTGAAAATGAACCTCTGATTCTGCAATTCGATCGAATAATACAGACAAAAAAAAAAAACAAAAAAAAACGAAACTAAAGACAGAATAAATGGAATTGAAAAAAGAAAATCGGACATATTAGACATATCTATATTGCATTGATAAGGAGCAATGTACATTTGTGTTATTTTGCAGTGGAGATTTTTCTAGTAAAAGGGAGATAATCCAGAATGAATCATGTTACTTGTCCTTACTGGAGTAATACCACCATTTTGTCCCTTATTAGTCTTTATTACTTTGGCATTTTTCAAAACATTGTGTAGAATTTTTCCTTGTTACAAATAAAAGAAATACTTGGCACGAGTAAAAGTGTTCTGTCAAAATTCACATAACAATTCATTGCATACAAGATAATAACAATCACTGGAAGTTAACTGGAAGTTAACCAATCAAATTGACATTTCCTGTTTACAAGCTTTAGTAACTATGTCACCTCAAGTTTCCAAAATAATTTATAAAACACCAAATGAAAAAAAAAAACAATTGTGCTTTGAATCACCCATGGTATATGTTTATGACTCAGAAATTTTTTTCTGAAATAAAATGCATGGTTAATTTCCTACAACGGTTAAATTCAAGGGAATATTTTTTCCCATCCTTTTTCGTATGAAACCGATTGTGACGTACCATGATTTGGTTATATTACACCTACAGATGCACTTTATGTATCCCTAACAGGTATGATACGTTAAAAAGTATGACTTATGTAGACATGTAGAATCAGGTTTGGTCATTCCTGGCTGCTTCAACTTTCCTCTTCTTAAACCTTTTTATCTTTTTTATCCTGTCTCAATTACCAGCTTATATAGTAATAATAATAATAATAATAATAATAATGATAATAATAATGATGATGATAAAACTAGTAAAGATAATAATCAATTTGTCTTCGACGACTGTTCAACATATTTTATACATTGTGTATCTGTATCTGGTATCTTCATTTACAAAACCAGGACAAACATGGTTATACCAACCCCTTAGGAAATACCAGTTCTCGACAACACCTCACTTTTGGATATAGGTGAAAGTTATGACGATTATGTATAGGGGACTGGATAATGAATATCTCATTGTCTTCCTAAAAATAACTTCTTTAATAAAACTTATGACTTAATTTTTACCAAATCCGTTATGTTTTAAGTATGTGATCAATTTAGCAGTTTGTAAGTGTGGTGCTTAAATACCAAGCTCTTTTTTTATATCAACGTGTCCTATTTATATGGATTTACGCCAAGTGCTAAAGAATCTTCTTGGTTTTCAACAGCGTACTGATGTCAATAGTTTTTTTTGGGGGGTTTTATTTTGTGGTCAGATGTTGGTTGTTATGGTCGATTGTTTGGTTTTGTCATGTTTAAGGGATTTGCACTTACCTTGACATTGCATTTTTACAGGAATTACCAACTATTTCAAACTATTACTAGAGACGACCTGACTTTCAACATGTCTACATAAGTCATATTTTTTTAAAACTTATTATACCTATCAAAGGGACATTAGCTGTCAAATTCATGTTCAACGATTTGACCTAAATTCTCATATTTGATTTCTAACATACGATTACTTATATCCAAATGACAATATGTCTAAAATAAACATTTAACAATGCATGGGCTCGGTATTATATATCAGCATTTCGTGTGTATTTTAGTCTAGACGCCATCTAATTAACCATCAAGATGACCTGCAAAGACTGCCGACTCTCATATAAACGATATAAACATAAATATAAATATAAATGGAAAGCGACCACGAGCAATTGGATTTTTCTAGGTCTGTTTGATTTCGTGTAGTTTTTACCTGTGTAAGAATAATAATTTTGTAGATGGAATCAGTCAACTAAATTGTTATCTCTTGTTTCACTTTTGTTGTTGACATTTTTGTCCTTTTATTTGCTGAGCATGCCCAATACATGCGTAACCAATCTCAAGCTAAGGGGTAAAATTGAAGTTCATATGGATTCGGATTCACATGAGGTCGAATTATTCACATGCAGGTTGAAAATACATCAGCATTGTTTTTGAGCTTACTTAGACAAATTTGGGCCAAACTAACTGCTTATAACGAAATAATATTTCAAAATTTCTCTTTTATTAATACATGAAACAAAAAGGATTCATATTCAAAATTTTTGCCCAAATCGTAGCTAAAAATAAGGATCTGTGGTATGATTGCAAATGAGATAACTATCCACCAGAGTTTAAATGAAGTGGATTTAAGCAATTAATGGCCACCGTATGGCCTTCAACAATGACGTATATAAGCGCCTAAGATGGCTTAACCTGGAATTAATAAGGTTTTATAAATTTAGACACCAGATTTAGATACACAATGCATAACATATGTTAAATAAAGGCAACAGTAGTATACCGCTGTTCAATTGTCATAAATCGATAAAGGGAAAACAAATCCGGGTTACAAACCAAAACCGAGGGAAACACATCAACTATAAGAAGAAAACAACGGAACAACAGAAACACTGAACTGAAGCAAAACAAACGCCAACATACATAAAAATGGACTATTTGATCACAACTGCCATATTCCTGACTTGGTACAGGACATTTTAAGAAAAAAATGGTGGGTTGAACCTGGTTTTATGGCTAGCAAAACCTCCCGCTTATATGGCAATGTTAAAAGTACCGCTAAAATGGCAACAGTGCGTAACAGGAATACATTACAAACAACCGCAAGAAAACTCAGCGACCGCAGAAAAATACATAAATAAGTAATATAATAGTACATTACAACATGTAAACCGCAGAATAACAACGGACACCTCCCATGAATTTACGACAGCATACCAGGACAGAATAGATGAATGTTGGATTTATAAATACTGAGACACGTCGTATAGCAATGCGAATTCACACTCGGCAAAACAGTCATGTTCGGGAATAGGTCACGTTAGGTACTGAGCAGACCAGACGACGTAGATGGTAAACTACAAGCTAAGGCGTGATAAAAATGTCGTTAGTTAGTTTAGACACAGACACATCGTATAGATCAACCAATCGTGTTGGTGTTCATAAAATTTACGGAGTATTATTTTAAATCTTTCTTCCTCATAATTCTGTTTGAGCAGTTTCTTCGTAAGGAGCACACACCTGTATATGAAGTATTTAACAGTTATCGAAGACAAATTGATTACTATCTTTATCAGTTTTATATCATTATTATTACTAATGATGTTGTTTTTAAAGTATTCAGAAGGTAAGAGCTGGTAATTGAGACAGGAACAAAATATAAATGACAAGGTTTAAGCAGACGAAAGGCTGCTGGAATGTATAATGGGAAATGAGTAATAACCAATAACCAACTATCACTAGAGACGACATAACCTTCGACATAAGTTAACGTATAATCTATGTCCAAGGAAAAAGACATGTTTTCAAACTGGATTA